TACTATTATGGAAGGATGAGGGGAAAGAGGGAATAAAATTTATTATCTGCAACATGACAGGCTGCCTGGAAATTCTCATTTTCATTTGTTATTAGCATAATTTCTAAATCAATGTAATTGTCTAATATCTATTTTGAATATTTTAAGACAAAAGATTTTGCTCTAAAACTTCACGATAAAAGTCCATCAGTTTGTTTCTTTTTTTTTTTTCATATCAAAAATAACAATTGTTCCACATTAAGTACTTAACTTTTTTATTAAAATTGAGTTACATTCAAAAGAGAGAAAAGAAAACATACCCAACGCTTTCGACACAATGTGACACAAATTCCTAGAGTGCGCATTTCTCACAATTTCAAACAAAGGCCAACGCCACTTCTGACCATTTTTTCACCCGAATCCTGTCAAAATCCTGCATTTACCTGCTCCTTCGACTGGTCAAGATCCCATATATTTACCTGCTCCTTTAACTTCTCGTAGTCCTGCTTGAACTCCTCATCCTCCCACTTCGTCTCGATGTAATCTTTCAGGCTCTGTCGCACGTAGGGAAAGAGAGTCTCCTGCAAGAGAAACCGGCCGCGTTCGTAAGAAATCCAAGCGTCGTCGCCGGCCGCCGGCCGCCGGCCGCCGGAGAACACGCTCGCCGGGAAAAATCAGGCGCGTGTCCCGTTGTTTTCCCGGCGGCGCGTTCTGCGGCGTCTCGGCGCGTCGCGTCAATATATAACATCGCCAGCGCGACCGATGTCTATAAAAAGATCATAGCATTTGTTTTTAAGCCGTGTTCTCGCAACCCTTCGGCCGTCCGTCATTAGCGTGCGGGGGGAAAGAGGGGCCCGCCGATTCGGCCTTTCGGTCGAAAATCCGAGCGGATCGTCTTAGCTCGAAATCTCGTCTCTTTTTTCCGTCTCACAAACACGGCGGCGGCGGCGGCGGTGGCGGCCGGCGGAGGTGGCGGCGGCCCACGGTCGGCCGAAAACTCGCGATTCGAGCCGGCACACCGCCCCGACGCGAGGACAATAACCCGGCGTGGAATTCGACCACGTATATACGCGGGACGAGAGCGAGGAGATGCTAACTCCTCGCGCCAAGATCCCGGACGACTTCCCGAGGGAGACGAATCGGGGAGGGAGGGAGGGAAGCCGCGAGAGCTCGATCAAAGGCGAAACGCCGCGGAATGGATCTTCTCACGGGATGAGATCGGCGCGGCGCGGCGGCGAGGGGCCGCTCCCCGCGGAACGGAACGGAGCGGCACGGCCTGGATTTCGCGTTCCGCACCGTTTCTCGTCGCCTCCTTCCGTAGGGCCCGTTTACCTTGACGAAGCTGATGCTCGTGGTGGTGCCCTCGATGTCGACGAGCACCGTCCTCGCGAACGAGATCTCGTCCTGATCCTGGCTGCGCTTTTCCCCGGCCATTTCCACAAACCGACTCTCGCCCACGACCGTAGGATTAATAACGGCTTGTATCTATATGTGTGCTCCCCCTTCGGTTAGGTTGGCGCTCGCGCTGTGTACTATGTCGGCGAACGACGCGTTCTTGTTGGGAGCCGGCGAACGAATTCGTTGTTGGCCGTGCGCCAATGTACGCCGTACGCCGCCGGTATATGCGAACTCGAACTCTCTAGTCTCTCGCAGACGTCCCCCTCTGCTCGCGGCCCGCGCCCTGCCGTGCCGTACCCGGTAACCACGTCCGTACCGAAGCGCCTCGGGTGCCCGGATTTTTACTCGACTCGCTCTGATCTAACGTCTCGTAAAGAAGAAAATTTCTAAGATGTCTGAAAAAAACCTTTAAAGAAACGCAATGGCCCTTGGGGGAACCTTTGATTATTTTCTTATCGCTTGACTTATCTAATCTATGGTTATCAGTGAAGGGGACGGGGGACGGCGTCTCGGTACTCGTGATAAATTAAACGTCGACTAACATTTTTTTACTAGTTTCTATTTCCACCAATGCAGACTCGGTTTTTAATCTCGGTTAGATTTTTTCTAGTTTTAAGAATTAGGAAAAAGATGATAAGTAAGTTAAACAGAGATTAAAGTTAATCTACATTGGTAGAAATGAAGTAAGTAATTTCTACATCGCAGCACGGCTGGCATTTCTATTATTTTCAATAAAGATTCATATCAATGCGATTGCAGATTGACACAAGGGGCACACGAGGGTGCAATTTTCAAGCAGGATGCGCCAGGTTCCGCGGCGAGTCGCGACGACTCTGCGCCCGAATACAAAACCGCGGCTCGTATCGGCGCGTTAAGATACTCGCGATCGCGTGCGGCAGTATGAGTGCGCGCCGCGAATCTGCTCGTTCCACCTTCGGGTTCTCGTCCAATCAACGGCCCTGACCGTCGCGAATCAGAGTGCGCGCTCGTGTGCGCCCCGCACCCCGCACGCGACACTCCTGGCCCCGGTCGCGAGATTTTCGACGACGACGAACCTCGCGGAAAATCGCCCACCTCGGCGAGCTTCCGCGACGGGTTGCGGCGTGAAGATTCACGTCTCCGTCGCCATCCCCGGCCGTGAAAACGATCGGTTCGGCTTCGCAAATTCGTTCGAATATCGACTCGCTGACGAACCTCTCGCCGCGATATCACTCCGCGAGAAAGTAGTCCCCGACGCGTATTGTTTTTTCACGTTGATTTTCGACATCCGACACGTGACTCGAGTCCCGAACGGTTTTTTTTTCCAAATTCTCTCGTGCAGTATCGGTGACCTCGCGATTCTGAAATAGATATTTCGCCGTTGCGACCGGCGATCGAGAGCCGGCCGGTCTGTCTCGTGCGGCCGTCCACGGGGTGGCGACGGACACGAGCGACCACCTGATTTTTGCACTAGCGCTGCGTCCATTTAAACTTCTGCGTGACGCGCGCACGGTAGTAGCCATTTAAATTTGAATGAGATTGACCACGCTGCTTTGTCATCCCGGCGATGTATCAATGTAGTACGGATGTCAATGATGTTGAATTATAGCATAATCTTTCTGAGAATAAAATAAAAAGATTCATAATTTCTGATTGCACAGAATAAAGTCAGACAATTAAAGGTTGCACCATTTAATTTAGTGATTATACTGATTATCATGTATAATGTATATGAAGTAAAACATTACTAGTGTTGAACGATTGAATTGTAAATAAACGCCGTACGCATCGATTTTACATCCACTTATAAAAGAATATATTAAGAAATATATTAGCCGGTACCAACCTTTTGGTAAACAAATAATTGTTAAATCATATATGTCTTTGTTTATCCTTCACATTAGACAAAGATAGATATATGATTAAGGACATAATATTCTTGATAAGAGGACATAATATTCTCACACGAATATATTTTGCACTCACATATAGCTAAAAGACACACTTATTCGTATGCGTACAATAATAGGCATTACAATGAAAATGTTCAATTCAAACACGTCAAAAATTAACATAAAGATAATGTTGAACGTATAAAAACATTACAACCGATAGCCATATAAAAAATTCACACGTGTCACATTGTATAAATGTACATATAAATTGAAACATTTATTTAGGCTATTTAATTAATGCAGTGCTGCTTACTATCAAGAATGATAAAAATTATGTGTAATGCAACATCGATATATTATTTTATATTATATTATTTCAGAATTATTTTTGTATCTCATACACGTTAACTGCATTACTTCTGCAACATTACGTGGATTCTAATTTACATTGTCTCAATTGTTCGCCGAGATGATCGTTCAGGTGAATTCTGATTTGCAGATCGCCATATTTCTTTCCGCATTCCAAACACTTAGTTTGGTTGTCCCCGTGTATCTTCCTGCGATGGTTTGAGCGACCGGTATAGCTACCGAACGATTTGTTGCAATCTGTGCACTGGTAAGGCTGATTGTTCGTTTCTTCACGGCGCTGAGCATCTCCGGTATCCCTTCGTCTGAAGTTCACGTTGCGGATGAACTGTTTCGTATTATGGTATAGTGAAATGTGACTGTACAGGGTTTTCATATCCGTGAATATCCTATCGCATTTCGCACATTTGTACTGTTTTTCCTCGTGCTTGCTCTTAATGTGATTTATTAGCATCTGTTTAACTTTGTATACGGCTTTACATAAATCGCACTGAAATACACGAGGGACAGTTTTGCCCTCGTGCACCTTCTCCTTGTGCGCCTTGAGCGACATTTGATGTTTGAACTTCTCCTGACACTCGTTACATTCGTACAATGGTTTTTGTTTCATTACTAAGGGGTCTTGACGGTCGAGTTGATGGCTTCCAATCACGTGATGCTTCAGCATGCGGAAGGTCGGTAACTCGCAGCTGCACACGGGACACGTGAATATTCGCGAGAGTGCTATGTTCTTATCTTTCTTCCAGTGCTTCTCCAGATGTTCATTCCAATTCTGCTTCTTGATGAACGCTTTGCCACATATCTCGCAAGTGTGGCGAGTGGAGACATGAGACTTCATGTGGAATTTCAGTGCGTGCGTAGTCATGCAGCGCAGGCCGCACCTCTCACATTGATAAGGCTTCTCACCCGTGTGTTTCCGAAGGTGTTCCTTCAGTCGCGCCTTCAATTGAAACGACTTGCCGCAAACCTCGCAAACATGCGGTCTAATCCCTTTATGCACGAAGATATAATGCTCGTACAAAGCATTTTCCCCGCTGAAATCCTTACCGCACGTGCTGCAGATAAACTCGTCCGTGTTCTCGTTATGTCGCATCTCGTGGAACTCGAGTCTGTCCTGGCGCATAAAGTGCTTGCGACATTTTTGACAGTGATACCGTCGCTGTGATATCACTTTCGCCCCTTCCCCGTCGACCATCACATATGCACTGGCGTCTTCGCAGGAGGCGCACATTGCTGGATCGTTAATAGCATTAGGATCTATATCTCTTATCAATTTTCTGCAGACGGTGCATTTTCGCTTCTGTTTTGTAACCTTCTGCGTCTGATTGTTATCCTCATCCGTTTCAGCATTTACTACCAATTGTCTGTAACCAACGTGTCTGTATTTTCTCTGATGCTCGTCCAAATTTGGTTTGTTCGTGAATGTTCTGTTGCAGTTTAAGCAAGTGTACCGCTCTGGGTTCTTGTGCATGTGGATATAGTGCTCCCACAACAAGTTTTCATTTTTAGTTTCTTTGGAGCATATTAAACAAACATATTTATTTATTTTGTTGAACTTGTGTCTGTCCATGTGAAACTTGTACTTTAATTGTGAATTATAACGAACTCCACATAAATTGCACATGTGTTTTAGATGACTTTTTGGAATGTCGATGTCATTTGCCTCATCTTTGTTGATGCACGCTTTTTCCGTTTTCGTCACGTCTGTTGTACTATCTTCTTGAGTTTCTGCATCACAACTGAAACATTCCGTGTCATTGCTTTCTGGCTGGAATGTTATCAAGCCAGCTAAACTTGACCTATCATAATCACTGGTCAATTCATCTTGTTCCGTTGGATCTAATTTTGTTTTTAATGTTTCCGATTCAGTAAGATTCTCATCGAAGTGCTTTTCTCTCATCGTATATTCTGTACAATTTTCCTCTTTATTTTCTATTTCTTCATTGAGACATATGACGTCATTGTTTACTGACTGGAATGTCAACAAGCTAGTTACATTTAATCTGTCGTGATCACCGTTCAATTCATCGACATCTTGTTTTATTGCATCTAATCTTGCTTGTAGTTTTTGCAACTTAGTAGGATTAATAGATGTTTCAGTAGAAACGCCTACTTGATACTTTCTCTTTGTACCTTTACTCGGTTCACATGGTACATCAATTTTTTGCAATGTAATGTTAAGATTTGTATGGCTAGTATCACTTTTCGAGCTTCTATGTATCCCATTGATATCTTGCTTGTTATCATTTGTCACATCCTCTTCGACGATGTTATGATTCAATGACAATCCACGTAATTTACTATCTGTACTTGAGTTCTGTGCAGAGACGTTAACAAACTCCATTGTGTCTTCAAATATTTGACTATTTTCTTCTACTGATTCTACTTTTTCTATTTGATCCACAACAGCCAATAAAATGTCAAATGCATAATTACTATCTTCAGAATTGTTCTTTAACAAGAGTATTAAATCTTTGTTGCAATTTGGACAGGTGCATATCATATCACTCTGCAGTTTAGAAATTACCACATTTTCCAATTTCTCATTTCTATTGACTTCGAAGAAAGAGTTGATTTTTGTCTTGCTTTCCTTCGAGCATGCCAATACATTTTGAACGAACTCATAATGACTGATAACTTTATTGTAACAGTCTAAACATATATGTTTCGACTTGGAATGATCATCTTGCGAGACCTATAAAAAATTGAAGATGTAGTGATATACTTATTTACAGTAATTAACTAATGCTAGCATACCTTGATTGGTAAAGTCTCATTTATTATCTGCGCCAAATTAGTTGCCTTATCAAAGATATACTTGGAATATTCGATATCAAGTTTAATACCACACAGACGGCACGTATCTTCCATTTCTGTAAATTCTGTATGAAACCTTCTCAATGTTTTAAGAAATAATTTTATATCTTTGAGAAATGTAACATTCCCATAGATATCGGTATCAACGGACTTTTTCCTGAGAATATGACCTAGTAAGGGAGAGAAAAATGATTTAAGAATTTCACGTAACATAAATTTTGTTAATTACAACTTTAAAAAAAGAAATAATTATCTTTGATCGTTCATATATGCAAACAATTCCTTCTAAAATGATTTAGTATCAAAATGTAAGTTGGAGCAAACATCTATCAATCAGTTTTCACACGTACCATTTTAAGAATATCATAGACTCCATAATAATATTCTTGCGGACGAAAATGTTTAATCGTTAAATGTTTAACTGAATTGCTATTCACACGTACTGATCCTTCTTTTAAAAAATACTGAAGCGTTTAACTGCTGCATAGGTTAAAATAGATACACGTAAGAAGTATCTGAAATATTCGAGTAGGAAGCGTGCTTTATCTATTTATCTAATTATCTTTTAGGTACGCCATCTTCGGTCGGTAATAAGATTCACGAAGTTAGCAGTCGATTGAAATTCCACTAGCTTATGATCCTATTTTTATTTCCACAATTCCGCATTGTTCGAATAATTTCCAATGTTCGGAACAACACAATATATATATTAAACGAACTTTTTATCGGGGGATTACA